GCCTTGATTTTTTTTATTGACCATTAATTTTTCCTTGTACGCTATCAAATACTTTTTCAAAGTCCATGAAGGCAACATGAGTCTATAAGTTATATTATTATCCTAAAAGAAATATTGAGAAAGTAAAAATCCATTAGAAATATGCATTCACCAATGGAAAACCCTACTAACCACTAATGGAAACATGTCACTAATCTGAAAAAAGACTCACGTTAGACCATGGAATTAAGAAACCTGACCATGAAAGAATAGCTGAAGGAAAATACCAGTTGCTACAAACATTTTAAATGAAATATTACTAGTTTTAATAACAAAGCCTTCTTGTCCCTTCATGTATTCTGACACATTGCCTTGCTGGATCCTTCACTTTAGTTAAGTTTTAAACTACTTCAAATTAAGAATCTATTTTCTTTCAATATATTCATGACGTCTTGACAAAAAATATTTTAATGTAACCTTCAAAAACATAAATTCAACATAAGTTTTTAATTTTCTTTTAAACATGAATTTCAAAGGAAACTTATTTTCCTTGTGTTTCCAAATATTTAAAATTAACTAACGTCAAATCAATCTTTGTCCATGAGATATTTTTTTACTAGTGTGTAGTAGTTAAATCATATTAATAGTTGAAAATTTGTAAATTAAAATATACTGAAGTTGTATCTCTTGTACATTTGAGGGAATTTTGTTAATATTGTATTATATTGGAAACATAGTTCAAACATTTAAGCAATGGAAACGAGATATTCTTTAGTTTTGAATTTGATTTGTTAACAATTTCAAAAACATCTTAATATTATCCTGAAATTTTTGCAATTTCAATTCCAATAGGCCAGCCTAGGTGGTCATCAGGCATTATTTCTTACATGTATGAATGGTTCAGAATCTCCTGCATTATGTTTGCGCCATGATGTGGATGGATGTGTATGGCAACCACAACCTCAAAACCTCGACACCTTAGAGTGGCCAATTGTTCATGTTGGTACTTTTCATGCATTTGGTTATGTTCAAGCATCAAAACAGCAGAGGAAATTTACAGTGTGTGCCCCAGGTAAGTTTTTTTTCTTTTTTAGAGATGTTTCAGTTTTATGTGTGTAAAAGTTCTAAGCTATTGCAGAGTTCTGTCAAAGCATACTCCCTGAAAATTTTCATGAAAATGTATCATTGTTAAAGTTTCTTTGAAAATGCACATTCATTCAATAACTACCAATATTTTTTCAGTTGAATTCTTCCATTTTGTCCTTGGCTAACATGTCATGTTTATTATTACAGGAATATTTACAAAGATGTTAGTGTTTAACGTTAGTGAAGATATGTTTTTGAATCTCAAATCTTTGGCAGAAAATTTGAGGAAAACATTTTCTCCTTTAAAAAAAGGTTACCACTCCATTTTGTGTTGCAGTAACATCACAGCATTTTTATTATATAATATTTCCCAGAATCCAAGGCGCACTTTAATTTCCTTCTCTCTAACTTCCTCCCAAATAATTAAAAAGTGAAGGAGACAGGTGAATCTTAGATTTGAAGATACATTGTATTTTTTCTATAATGTGGGTGTTATTGAAAAGAAGGCTCATTTTTGCGTATACATTGAGGATATTTGCTGATGGACTTGCGTAATTAATCTGTCCCAGTTATCTAATTATCATTTCTTTCTATCTTGATGATTGTTAATCGACATTTGGCCTCATCTGAAAAATTTCTTTGAAAGAGTTATGTTTAACCCTGCTGCATTCTATTTTAATACACACAAGATATTTGGGTCAAAAACAACCTGTTAGGTGTTTAATTCCTGTTAGGTGCACTCTTTAATAATGGAAATATAATTTAAATGGAGGAGGAGAATAAGGAAACTTAAAGAAAGAAAAATAACAAACAATCATTTCTGCATAAAAGTGAATATTACTCTATTTCCTATTTAAGTTTATTCAGTGAAGCCTGCTCAAACAGCCGTTTCCAATAAGCAGTCATCTCCATTAACTGCCATTTTTTCAAGGAACGGATTGATATTTCCACAAGACACACATTCCCCCTTTTCAGTGGGCACTGTGCAAGGCACTTTTCTTAGATTGACCATTACCAAGCAGTCACCTCAAGTGATTTTGAATTGTATTATAATAAGGGGTGACAAAGTGTTGAAGATTACTATTAGTTTAATATCTCCCTGTGTCAGGGTGCCTTGTCACATTACTTTGAACAGAAACATCCAGAGTAGCTTATCTT